CTTCCTATTTGCTGTCGAGTGTTGACGAGATATGGGTCGGAGCAGCATTGGGATCGGTCGGGTGGATATGAATCGGCTTCATTTCTCCTGACGACTGAAATGCGGACTCTGTGGCAGGCTTCTTGGCTCGCAGCAAATCACCCGGATCTGCATTTTTCTGGTACTCTTGCAGTTCCACTACTGCCATCTGTGCATCGGCAATTTTTGAGCCCTTCTGGAAACACTGTTCTGCCTACTGCCGATTGCCGGTAACAATGATTACTCCTTTGGGACCAGGCATCTTCAATTTGAGATACACGTAACATGGTCGAGCCATAAAACATGCATAAGCAGGTCTCCCCAGAATGGCATGATAAGCACTCTTGAAATTCACTACCTCAAATATCAACTTTTCCTTGCGGTAATACTTGGAATCACCGAAAACCACATGAAGTGTGATCTGGCGGAGTGACCGAGCCTTCTTGTCGGGCATAACTACGTGGAAACTCATGTTGCTTTCACTAAGCTTGGACATCGGAATGCCCATTCCCTTTAAGATTTCAGCATAAAGGATATTCAGGCCACTGCCACCATCCATCAGCACTTTAGTCAGTCAAGTGCCTTCGACTACTGGGTCGACCACCAGTGCTTGCCTCCCAGGGGTGGCTATATGTGCTGGATGGTCTGACTGGTCGAATGTGATGGCAGTCTGGGACCACTTTAGATAACTGGGTGTTGCTGGAGCAACCATGTTCACTTCCCTGTTAATAACCTTCAATCGACTTTTGCTTTCAACATCAGCAAAAATCATCAGCGTGGAATTGACATTGGGAAAGCCGTCATCATCTTCTCCCCATATCCTCGCCTCCATCCAACTCCTTTTCCTTTTCCTTGGGTTGTTTCTCTCGGAACTGCTGGATCAGGAAACGACACTGTCGAGTGGTGTGTTTAGGGTAAATGATGTTCCCCTCTTCATCTTTCTTGGTATGAATATGGCACGGTAAATCCAACACATCATTTTCATCTTTATCCTTAACTCTTTTGGGAGCCTAGGGCCCTCTGGGTTTTCCTTTGAACTTTCCTTGGGCAACAGCTAAAGCTTCACCAGGAGCAGCTAGTTCGGCCTTTCGCTTCTGTTTCCAACTGGAATTCCCTCCTCCGGTTTCTTGGGTGACTGTTTTGTGTTTTCCACTCCGGAGTCGGTCTTCCTCTTCACCATTGGCATATTTGGTGGCAATCTCCATCATCCGAGTCAGAGTCATATCTCCTGTCCGACCGAATTTCAGGTCCAACTCCCGATACTTAACGCCTTCCTTGAAGGCACAAATTGTTTGGTGATCTGACACATTCTTCACTGTATGGTGCAACATGATCCATCTCTAGATATAATCTCTCAAAGTTTCATTCGGTTTCTGGACACAACACTACAATTCTGTCAATCCAGCCAGCCTTTTGCAAGTGCCTTCAAAGGTCCTAACAAACACTCGAGCAAGTTCTTCCCAACTTTATATGCTACCAGGAACCAACTGATTCAACCACGCTCTAGCAGAGCCCTCCAACATCAAGGGGAGGTGCTTCATGGCTACATCATCATTGCCACCACCAATCTGCACAGCCACTCGATAATCCTCAAGTCAAGTATCTGGCTTGGATTCGCCGGTGAACTTGCTGACTCCAGTCGCCAACCTGAAGTTTGGAGGAATCACTGCTGCTTTGATGGCTCTGCTGAAACACTCGGGTCCTGAAACGTGTACCCTGCTTCCAGTAGGATGATCTCTATCGTGGCCTTCTCTGTGAGCTCTGTTTCTATCAACCAGACCTTGAACGAGGATTGACCTTGCATCAAAGCCTGGTTCTCTGGGGTCGACTGAAATTCTCCGTTCGTTCCTGTGGGGGCGCCTGTCATCTTGCCGTCGAGGCACGTACGACCCACTCCTTGGAGGAGGCGTGGGCACTCGACGATGATCGTCGTGGTCGAGTCGATGATCATACTGCTCACGGTTCCTGTACTGATCTTGCTGGTATCCACGTCCCTCATGCCGCGGAGGCGGTCTCGGGCTATGGGCAGACTGGACAGTATCCGCCACCACAGACCTGCTATGAATCGTATTCCGCGACTGAGATACCGTTGTATTCTGCTCTCCCGCTGCCCGGAGTAAAGCCCGGATCTGCATCAAACCTCGGCCAGCTTCTAACTGGGAAGGTTGAATTGACTCTGCTATTCGAGCTGCAGCTGAGAGATTCTGGATCGGAGTTCGATATACCTGAGTCGGAGGCGGAAAAAGTTGTCGTCGACTGGACTCGAGGATCCGCTGCCGAGCACGCTCGTCGAGTGCGCGCTGGAGGTTCTCTAGTCGAGTGCGCTCAGCCAAGTTGGCCAGGCGCGCCTCCTCCAAGGCCTGGGCCTCGGGGGTTTCTCCAACGATAGGAGTGTGAAGTGCATCCATATTGCGGCGACGAAGATCTTCCCTCCGCTGCGAAGAGAGGGGTTCGGGGCGGTACTCCTCGTGAGCACGCGACGGATCACCACCGCCATCGCCACTGCCTTCCCGAGTGAAGCCAGGAGGACTGCGTGGTCCATTGACCATCAAGACTTCCGCCGCGGGGTCGCTGCTGTCGCATTCGGACGCAGTCTCGACGAAGCCAATCGACAGATCAAACGGGCCGTAGAGAGTTTATCGGGCTCGAGTGCCGTGATTTGCAGGGTGGCTGATTGGCGGGCCACCGCGTGCTCACCCACCGCTAAAGTCGCGACCGACCGGATCGCTGGCGCCGGCGAACAATGGAGAGGGAGGTTGCCACAGGAGTCGACTGATACGGAGTCGACGGTTGTCGAAGAAGGACGCCGCGAACGCACACACGGAAGTGCGTCGCCCCTCGGACGGGGAACGCCTCGACGTCGAGTGGAGCTTCGTGAAGCCAAGCGGAGTCGTCGGCGATGAAGACGAGCGCGCCGAGACGGATCTCGTGGCCTTCAGCCAATCCTCCGCCGGAAACCATGATGATGGGAATCGGAAGAATCGCAACTTCTCCAATAAACTGCTAAGACACCTGCCCCACGGTGGGCGCCAACTATCGTGGGTTTAAGACTGACAGTAGAATGGGGGGTAGGTATGAGGAGGCAAGATCTTAGCTATGGAGTAGTTGTACACACGAGTTTTACGAGTTCAAACCCTTCTCGTAAGAAGTAACGGCCCTCCGTCTCGGTGCCCTGAGGCGGTCGACTGGATTATGTGTGTGTGTTTACAAAAGATGTGAAACCTTGTCCCAGAGGAGGGGGGTGGCTTATATAGAGTGCGCCAGGACCCCTGCTCCCCTCTGTTACACATGGTTCAATGTACATTAAGAGAGGAATGTTACTGGTAACGCTAGCCATTAAGTGCTATAAATGACAATTAAGCCTATAAGTAAATGCTCGACCGTTGTTGGTGCAGAGTGGCTTTAGATCTTCTGCTCGTCGAGTGGCTTCTGCGACGGTTGAGTGACATTGATTCTTCCGAGTGAAACGTCTCTGGTCAAGTGGGTGATGGTACCTTTTGAATGATTCTGATTTTAGGATGATGTCCTAGGGGAAGGTGTCTAGGTCAGACCTATGACCCTACCCTAGATACATAACCTCGTCAGTATCCACGAACATTACTGATAATCAATAAAGTGGCGAGATTACTCAAAAAAAAAAGATTATGTCCCCCTTTGTATCTTTGAAAGAAAAGATAATGCCCCCCCTTTGTATCCTTGACAGAAAAGGTAGATGATGCCCTTTGCGACATGATTCCATCTCACCGCTCCCTACAGTGGCGAGCAGCACATAGTAGCAGTCGTCAACCTCAAGCGACGCGACACTTGTCGCTGTGTACCCAGCGAGCCTCGTCCTCTACACTACAGAGAAGGATACATACGATGATATCCTGACCGAAACGTCTTGTTAAGTATCGATCGGCGAGAAATGGACGTGGAAGAAGAGTAAAGCTGGCTGGCGAGGCGATCCCCGATATCTACGTATCTATCTATCAGATGAGGCAAATGGACAAGACAGACACACACACAGGCAGGCAGCAGCCGCCGCAGAGAAGCCATCCTTTCTCGTGATACCATCAATGTATTGCCACAGCCGGGGGAGATGAAATGAAAGGAAATCCCTTTTTTTACCACGTCTTGTCCGAAACTTCCATGCTCGCTGCAGATTATTTACCGCCGTCCGTCTCTCTCGAGAATGCGCATCTCTGTCCAAGCGTCTAGTGCTAATCACCCTTTCAAAGCTAAACATAGTTAGTTAGTGCTAATCCCTTGCATACAGATACAGTGCGTGAGACAAAAAAGACGAGGCTCATACATACAAGGGCATTTGCAAGGAATCTCATCCTTAACTGGGTTTTCTGCGCCTGTCAAGCGCAGCAAAATCACATGAGCGCACCAAACCCGCCCTCCTTAAAATAATCGCGCCTCTACACCAGCCCCACCCTCTCCCCATGATGCATGTTCCTCCACCTCCACCTCTCTCCCCCTCCCTCCCTGTCATGGGCCAGAGCCCCTCTCTCTCTGCTCTGCTCTGCTCCGCTGCTACAAAAGACGGCATCGTTTTCTGCCCCCCTCTCCTGCTTGTCCGGCTCCTTTCTCCCCCTCCAGTCCTGCCCCATTCCAGCTGAGCCGGGAAGCTGGACACGCATAGCTATGCAGAGGAGGAAGCATCACATCTCGTGATCCCCTCACAAATCCACCAAGAACGGCATTCTCCGAGCTGTCCCTCTTGCTGCTTCACCTACTCCTTTTGCAGTGTTTTCCTAGTTCCTACTAGCAGTCTCCAGTCTAGCACCGCACCAAGAACCAAGAAATCCAGCAGAAGGGATTGATTCCATCCTTTTTGCGCCTACTCTGTCCCAATCTGCCACGCACAAGTTGCCGAGACAAGAACCGCTCTTGCAAGATCTTGCCATACTCCTCCAGCAATTTGGCGCCAGCTAGGCTGCCAATCTCGCGCCGGAGGTTGAGATTTAGAGGCGGGAGAAGCCTAGTCTCCAGCGATGGCGGCCGCGCTGGAGTGCTGGTCGGGCCGGCCGAGCACCGACGAGGAGTCCATGGTGGAGCAGGTTCTCATGAAGCCCCACGCCCGCTCGGACGGTTCGCTCCCCACCTGCGCTGACTCGGTCGGCGCGGGTGACCCGATTTCGGGCCCGGCGGCGCCCAAGAAGTGGCAGCGCCTGGGCCGCAACTTCGCCGGCGCCATCGCGGCATTCAAGAACACGCTCAACCTGGACAACGGCGGCGTCCCCCGCGACCCCTCGCCGCGCGCCGGCGGCGAGAAGCCGCCGCTCCTCCTCCGCGGCCTCGCGCAGCTCTACTCCCGTGGCGCCGCAGCCCAGCAGCTGCCGGAGAAGCTCGTTTCTGACCTCCGCCGCCACTTCGATGCTCTTCCCAACAGGTGAGCGACCATCTTCGCAAGTTCTGGAACAGACGAAATTTTGCCGCGGCATCAAGCGGCCACATACCACTTAAACTGCTTCCTGTTTCTAATTTCTATACAGTATTTACGACCTTTTATCTGGTTTGTTAAACCAGAGGTGCTAAATCAAGCGCATAATTTATTTATTTGGATGTGCTGAATGGTTCCGTTGCTGACGGTCAGAAATCTCGGTTTTGCAGCTACGCACAGGCAGGATTTGACATGAAAGATGTCCTCTTGCACGCCCGCCTTGTAGAGCAGGCGGCCGGTGAGGATCAGCCTGCACTGAGCATCGAGGAAGTTCATGGCAGCAATGGCAGAGAAAGTGGTGCCGAGGGCACTGTATTTCAGCTCACCTTTGCCTGCAACGCCCCACTTTCATGGCAGTCAATGTCAGGCTCACTCGACAGCCCATTGTTCAGTTGCAAGAAGATCCAGATCTTCGAGAAGAGAGGACTGACACTTGGTGTCGTCCTGATAATTGTGCAATTCGGGAGCGAGGAGCTCTTCAAGAGCCGGGTCGAGGCCGCGCTAAAATCGGCGACAAAGAAGCATCGGAAGAACAGTGGAGGCGGCAGTGGCGGTGTGAAGCTCCCCTTCGGGCTCTGCGGCTGCCAGGAAGAAGGATCGCGCAACTTCGACGAGGAGTCCATGTTTGATCCCGAGGAAGGCCAGGATCTTGACAATGAGCCTGCTCGCAGGCCATACCTTCCCACTCCCCTACCACAATCATCAGTCTTTGTCTCAGTAGATGAGTGGCAGACCGTCCGATCCGGGGGCGAGGAGCTCGGCCGCTGGATTGTGAGCTCCGAGGAGATCGAATTCGTCGACTGGGTTGGCCAAAACTCGTTCAGGGGAGTCCACAGAGGAAGGAAGGTTTGGGTTAACAAAATGAGGGGTTGCAACATGGGCAGTGCTTACGATGTCGAGATCCGTCAGGACTTGCTGCAACTGATGAGCTGCGGTCAGAAGAACATCCTCCAGTTCCATGGCATCTGCTTCAACGAGAGCCATGGCCTCTGCATAGTGACTAGGATGATGGAAGGGGGCTCGGTTCATGACATCATTATGCAGAGAAACAAGAGACTGTCGCTCCGGGACACGATTAGGATTGCTCTTGATGTTGCTGATGGCTTGGCGTTCATGAACGGCTACGGCATTGCGTACCGTGATCTTAACGCACGAAGGATCCTGCTAGACAGACAGGGAAATGCCTGCCTTGGGGATATGGGCATTCTTACCCCTTGTAATAATGCTGGCGAGGTTACTGAGTATGAGACGTCTGGATATCGCTGGCTAGCTCCAGAGGTTAGTTTTCTTGACTTGATTTAATGTAAATAAACTCTTCTAGAAATGCTCTTTCTGAAAGCGAGTTTAGTCCCAGCATGCTAGAAGTTCTTTCTTTGAGCTAATTGCTCTATTTTAACTGTAGCCATTATCTGGGATCTTCAAGTAACCCAGTAAAACAGCAACATTGACGATGAAACATGTATTTTTACTTGTCATCCTGTAGGAGTACATAGAACTCTAGGACAAACCGTGTAGAACACTGCATCATCTTGCCTTTTAATTTTATGAGCAGAGCATAATAAAACTTCAAATACGAAATGTGAAAGAAATACTACTTTGATCTGACCAACTTGATGCTCTTATGCACTAGATCAGCCTGCCAATGCCAGTTAGTAGTACTATCTTGTGTCCACCCAATGGTCAGGGAATCCATCCTTTTAACCCTGAAAAACCAATTTTGTGCTCCTATTGTACTCCTTATCATCCTTTTAAGCTTATGTTATCTGAACTTATCCTTACTGAGAGGTGGTTACTTAAATGCTTTGTTTACAGATCATTGCTGGAGATCCAGAAAGCGTATCGGAGACCTGCATGAGCAACGTCTACAGCTACGGCATGGTTCTGTGGGAGATGGTGACCGGCGAGGAGGCCTACTCGACGTACTCGCCGGTGCAGGCGGCGGTGGGGATCGCGGCGTGCGGGCTGAGGCCGGAGATACCGAGGGACTGCCCGCCGTTCCTGAGGTCGCTGATGAGCCGGTGCTGGGACAATTGCCCTCTCAAACGCCCTCAGTTCTCGGAGATCATATCCACCCTGCAAAAGCAGAGCCTGAGATAGTTTTTTTCTCTTCTTCTTTCTTTTTCTTTCCTTTTTACCATTATAAATCATGCTATAGTAGTATATGTGCTATGTTTGGCTGAGTGCCCAGAGATGCAGGAGACTGCATATGAGATGAGATGAGATGAGAAAAAGTATAATATATGTGCAAAGGCTTGATATATTTTGCTGCCGTTTCTTGCCCAATGCATGCATCTTGGATGAGCTATGTTAGTAGGTCCCCACATCCACATGTAGAGTGAGTGAGATGAAAAATCAACAGAGAGCATCAAAGATTTAGTTTAGCGGACGGATCTATAGGACAAGGGACAGTTGTTTTTTGCTTGCCCTCCCTATCCTATGCTATCATCCACAACGAACTAACTGCACAGTGAGTCCATGCAATGCTCTTGGGACACTTGGACGCAGGCTGCTCATCTCATCTGCTGCTATAAACAATGGTGGATCTCATCTCCTTTGTTTTGTTTGACCCGTTCAAGGGTGCGGCTGGCTGGCTGGCACGCACACCTGGGCTGGGTCCAAATTTGACGAGCAAACAGCCCTTGGGTCGTTTCCACACCACATCTGGCGATTAATCAGTGACTGAGCGTGATGCATGTGCGGCTGTTCCTCCAAAGTTCATGGCCATCATTAGTTTCCAAGGAACGGTGCAAACCCTACGTAGTATGTACGACTTTGTCATTCTTGTATGCGGCCAAATAAGACGATGATGCTTTCTCTTTTTCGTGCCTTTTTGATTCGCGGGATTGCAAAAACACAGGAATAGAAAAAACGTGGGATTGAAATGACATGTCCATTGGATTTCTATAGGATTTGAGTTTGTTTGATTGTATCACAGAAAAAATAAAGGATTTCTTCCAAGAGGTCCGAGCCCATCCACCTCCTCCCTCTCCAGCTCCGGCGCTCTGCCCACAGTCGGACGCTCCGCCCATGCTCGAGCACTCCGCCATGGTCCGACGAGATGGCCGAGCAACAGGCCATCCTGGAGTCCATCCAGAATGAGGCCTATGTGGAGGCCAACTGGGCGTTTCTCCGGCAGGAGTAGGCGGAGACCGACGCGCTCTTCACCAAACTTGATGCGAAGATAGATGCGGAGGAGGCCGGAGCGGAGCAGACTTGATGCGAAGATAGATGCGGAGGAGGCCGGAGCGGAGCAGCCGGAGCCGGGCACGGAGATTGTCGTGATCTCCGACGAGGAGTGGCTAGGATCGATGTAGTACGTAGGTTCTACTTTTTTTGCGTGTCTTTATATAAATATAAGAATCGAGTATGAGATGTCCGGATGCAACAAGTGAAATTCGAGGCGTGCCCGGTCAATGTCCACGGACGCGCCGGGCATTTGAAGGGCCATATTTGTCATATATGGTCATAGATACTGTAAAGCGAGCCAAAGGTGTCGCCGCTCCCCCGTTGTAACCGGACAAAACTTGCTGTTGTAGACGGACAAGAAGTCGTTGTGCTAAGGCCCCATAGAACCAGCGCATCAGAACAACAACCATCGCTGTTGAAGAGTAGCGGATATTAGAAAAATACAACTTGAAGACGCACGAACATAGACGAACTACGGACAGACCCGACTAAATCCACCAAAGATAGATAAATTTTTTTGTTCCGAATGTTGGGAGGCCCACAGACTGAGATAGATACCCGTGGACTGCAAGATTTGTGCATCCCAAGCTGGCGTGGCAAGTTGCTCCATGCTCTCCTCCCATTCGAGGGTGGTTTGCCCGGAAGGAGCGGAGGCGGCTTTTCTTTGGCACGGTGCGGGGGCTCTGCTCTGCTGTGGCGCGCACGTATGCCATGAGCCGGGGAGGCCACCACAGCCCCGACACGGCTTGCAGGGGCTGCGCTGTGACTGACCGCTCACGCGGGCGCCGGAATTGCAGGTGGCTGGCTCCCTCCCTGCACGGGCGACTCCCCTGACCCTCCCCGGATCGGCGCTGCAGCGGCAGCATCCGATGAGGCGGGCGGCTGCTTGTCCATCGCAAAAGTAATCACGTACTAGTAAAATCAAATAACCATGGGTGCCATCCATCTGCAAAACGGTAAATGCAGCAGTAAGTGCGCGCTGAACCTTTGTACAGCGACTCCATTGAACCGAGGCATGGGCACAACAGAGACAGCAGGAGTAGTAGTGGCAGCAAAGGTACAGCGCTGCATCTGCATCTGCATTACTGCATCCATCCATCCACTCAAGGCTGAGGCCATAACCATGACTCCATGAGGCGTGCAACGCGTGCACGACGCAGTGGAGTGCCTCGGTCGGTTCGTGCCATGCCATGAATCTTCACTCTCTGCGGCCCGCGGATCGTCGGCACTGTCGCTCACGCGCCTCTCGCTGAGCGAGCCGCATTCACGCCTTCCCTGCGTGTCCTTGCCACGCCTCCTCCCGTGCGTTGGCCTGGCGTCATCAGCCAGCGCCCCATGAATGAATGAATGAACGAAATGAATGGCATGGTAGGATGGTACAGGCCGTAGATCTGAAACAATTCCGTAGCTGAGCTGCTACAGCCTAGAGATAGATAGGCACGCAGGAGCAGAGAGCGCACGGAGCTATTGATAGTGACGGAACGGACGCCATGAGGGCCTCTTTGGAAACAAAAGCAGACGCAGTAATAAGCTCTGGCCCATGCCATCCGTCGTCGGCGCGCTTCACATGAAATTTTCCTTTCAGGACCATGCTCCTGGTAGCACAAATTTTGTCTTCCACAACAACTGTACATTTTTTTTCGAGAGTACTCAACAACTGTACATGAACCATGCAATCCAAACGAAGGGTTAGGATCCTCCGCAGTAGCCCACCATACACTACTGCAGAGAATCTCAACCCCAAACGAAACATGAAATGGCCGCTTATATTCCTACCAGTTGCTTTTCGTTTCTACTCTACATGGATTTGATAGGGCCATCAATTCCTGTATTCCAAGAGGTAAAAGGACATCACGTTACGCTGTTAACCAAAGCCAAAGGAAGAATCATCATCATCAACAACAACTTGGGACTACAGCTGAGTCAAGTTTGGCATCCAACTCGAAGGTTAAAACAGAGATGTAATTGCTGAAGAAAGACGAGCGAATGGGATGAGCAGCTCAATGACGCGCTATTCACCCATACAAACAAAACTCTCTGGGTACAATAAACATGGGAGATCGTCAACTTGGAGGGTTTGCCGGCTTTTCTCCTTATTTCTCAAGAGATCACTGGGGGTAAAACTCGCTCTCAGAGGACGGGCTACTCGGAAATAGGGCACGCACCCTCGAAAGCTTCCTGCTCCTTGCGGCAGAAGTCAAATTCATTCGTGTAGTAATACATGCACCCAGCATACGCATCCATCTCCTTGGGGCACTTTTGGTGAAGTTCTTTCAACCTGCAATCAGAAATGTGATCACAAAGTGATTACTTACCAGAATGAGAAAGTAGAGCAGGTAGATGAAGAAGACACAAAAGTGATTGGCTTCACGGAAGCGACATCACAGCTAAGCAGTCTAAAAAATATGTACAAGAAACATGATGAAAAGGTCTGAAATCTGTAGTCCATAAAGGGAAGGAAGAATATCCAATTTTCAGATTTAACACACGGAATAAGAACTTTTAATGACAATAATAGATCCTGCTAGGTTGCTACTCAAATTGGATGCCCCTATCAACCTTTTTGACATGACCAAACACAATCAGGAAAACAAATACAGGCATAAAATCATCATGTATGCATTTTTGTTCTCCATACGTAACACCCATGCAACATCACCCAAGAGGCAAAACAACTTGAACATGGAGCACTACCTCACCAACTTAAAAACCAATCCATCACTATGCCAGTGATTTTTTAAGTCCCGAACAAGCAAGTTTTCCACACAAAATGAGTAAAATAAAATGCAAGTTCTTTTTCTAGAACACACGTCAAAATCCATGCTATTTTGCATTGAAAGCATCAAAATGACGTGAAGGACAAACCCGAAAACGCTACAAGCAACGAAAAAGCTATCTACAAAAAACTAGCAGGCTTACGAGACAAACCAAAAGGAAGGAACCAGAAAGCTAAGAAAACTAGCAAGCAAAACATAACCAAGAACACAGACCTAAACAGAACAGAGCAGGATCTATTAGATGGTGTCTGGAGATCTAGCATGCACAATAATGTGCAAGTCTGAAATCACTGATGAAGGTTCAGTTCAAGCAATGGCCCAAACCAAAAAAAGTAAATTTTGCCTCCATTTATTCTCACCTAATCATTTCAATACTAGATAAACAAAAACAAATAGAAGTAACAGAAGTCAGAAAAGGCAAGCATTATTCAATCCCACATTATGCTTGTCTACTCACGAGTCGCATATGCATTACATTTGATTATTGAATAGATGTTATTGAAATCTTCATAACCACCCAACGCCCCAAGTCACACTCATATAAATGACTTAGCCAGGGAATTTTGCACTTCAACACTAGAAGGAATAGAAACAACAGCACTAAGGCGGAAAGATAGAACCATATTTGTTTATATCACATATGCACTACCGAGATCAAACTGATCATAGGGTATTCTACAAGCAAATAAGGAAGGGATATTATCATTGATACTTCATACAATATTTCACCAAAAAAACAGGGGTACTGTGAGTTACAGGATTGTATTGGGAGGCAAGGTCTGTTGTTGCCAGGCAATGCAGCAGCACATTGCACAGGAAGACAAAGACAAGAAGAAGTAAGCAGTCACACACTCATACAGGTACTTCCCACAAGCCTGATTTGTCCCAACATGTGCAGGTTCTACAAGAGAGCAGGTCTGTAGACTCTGTTCTCCCAACATTCAGTGCATGCCGGAGTAGGGACAGATTAGTGGAGGCAGCACCAAGTATAAAGAATGAGAGGCAAAAGGTGAGACAGCGACTTTTCAAATTTAAGCTGTCTGCATTCACCTCTCATTTTGCCTTTCTCTTATCTGTTCATGTATTGCCTCTACATGCGCTGGCGTGCACCGACCCTGAGGACAGCAACCTCTC